AAGGAGGTGGAGGTGGAGGTGGTGGCGTGTGGGGGGCACAGAGTGCATTGTGCATGTGTGTGTTTTGCCAGTATGTGCACAAAATGTGTGTGACAGGTATGAATGTGGATGTCTCTGTCCCACTGGCTCTGTTGACAGCCCGGTGCTACTGACACATCCCTGCCCTCTTCTTGCAGCAAAGGAAGAGCAGGGAAGGGAAGCCACCGTGGGCTTGACATTTAACAACTGACAAAGAGTGTTCACATTTAATCGCTAAATGTTAACCGCCATAATAGCCCCACTTCACTCGGTGAGTAGGGGACAAAGCTTTAGGCCCCTGGACAGACGTAGCTCCCACCTCCTCATTGATTTCACTGGCAGAGCAGCAGGCTTAACTCTGACCCAACTGCAGCACTAATGCCATAATGCTTATAAGTTATATTCATAGCACTGCTAATTTTAGCTTCCACTCCTCATTCCTAACTTAATGACTAGTGTGAGTCAGAGCTTGGAGTTTAAGCTAAAAACATGACCCTGATAAAAGGCTTAACCTATATCTTTAAGTAAAAGTATCATCTTCATAATGCTCTTACTGTTCAATATGATTCAACATATAGCTAGTTCAGAGAAGCTTGTGCAATGGAAACTTGGTCAGAAGAAGTAAAAGGTGGACTGGGCGGTAAGCATTATTAGCAATAGCTGCCATGACAGCAAAAAGAATGCCACCTACAGAAACTCAAACCTTATCAATAGATATGAAACAGCACCTACTTACATTGTAGATCTTGTACAAGCTGCTTTGGCAAGACCGTATTTAACTATAGTGATGCCAATAAAGCAAAATTGAATTTGAAAAACAGCACCGGGAACACACTTTGACAAGCAATATCTGTAAATGTAGCACAAAACTACTGTAGCATAGCATTGGCTGCTCGGTACCAAAGGTGTCAATAATATGAAATGAAATAGAACTCAAGAGTCAATACTTGCAAACATAAAAATCTAAAGTACAATGTGCTGTGAAAGGAGAAAACAAAGTCAAGAAAAGGACTCAGCTCTAGCATCAGACTGCAAAGCTGAAAGGACCCAAATGATTGTCATTTCCACATTCCTGAACTCAGCATATTGTGTGCTCCTCAGAATCACAGTTTTTATGTGTTTTTTATAGCATTGTAAAATTATTCTGATGGCATTGTTTTTGTTTATAGAAATATTAAAACAGTGACATTTGGTGCAGTCTTTTTGCTGGTTTTACCCCAATTAATGTCAGGGTCCTCGGGTCAGATTAAGGGGAGGGGGGGAGGAGTGGTGACATACTGTTTTATTTCTGTTAGACACAATGTCTTTATTGATACCAAAATTGTTCAAATCCTAAATGGTAATCCTACTTTCTGGACACTTTTGTACTTTTTGTACTGTTGTCCGTTCTATCCTCTCAATGCATGTTGAAGTGCTCCCGATGCTGTGCATCGGTGTATGAGTGTGTATGAATGATTAGTTTCCGTTCTGGTGAGCAGTTGGTACCTTGCATGGCAGCCACTGCCATCAGCATATGAATGTGTGTGAATGGGGTAAGTG